TTAGATCGACTAACGATTAGACTTGGCCGATCCAAATAGGAATTTAGCTAATAGCCTAATACCTATTAGCACTAATAAATCAAACGGGCCCTTAATTATATAAAAAAATCAGTATGAATAAAGTAACATGCATATATAGTCAATGGTAATATTATTGTAGTACACATCTTTTTCGTGCTATACAAATATAGTCAATTCCATATATTATTGGGTAGCCATATAGGGCCATAGTCTTACCATACGTGTATAAAATCGCGTAAGTTTGCATGAATCAATCAATTAATTAAGCTGGTACGTACTCTCTTTGTTCAAAAATAAATGCACACCTAGTATTTTTAAGAGTCAATCATTTTTAAGTTTAATCTCTTTAAATAAGTTTATCGTGCATTTTTAATAGAAATTTAATGAAACTTATTACTGTCTGGAAGAAAGATATAGGAAACACGTGTAGTTTTTTATATATACTTGGAAGAAAGATATATGCTGACAGAGAAAGTACACGTATATTTGAAAGGAAGGGTCGTCTAGTAGTATAGGGTTGTTTAGTTTCTTCTCCTAAACTTTAGTCATCGTCCCATCGGATGTTTGAATATATGTATGGAGTATTAAATATAGACTAATTACGAAACTAATTGCACAACTTGCGACTAATTTACGAGACGAATCTTTTAAGCCTAATTAGTACCAGATTTGGCAATGTAGTGTTACAGTAACATGTGCTAATGATGGATTAATTAGGCTTAATAAATTCATCTCGTGGAGTACCGACAGATTCTATAATTTATTTTTTTATTAGTATCTAAACACCCTATACGATACCCACACGTGACACCTCCTAAATTTTAATCACCGAATCCAATACCCCCTAATAATGCACAGTGTAGTAGTGCTGCAGCACAGTAGCACACAAGTATCACCCGCGGTTTAGCGGTTCGGTGGGATTTGGCATTTTGCTTGGGGTGAGGGGCACGTGACCCGCCTCTCACCAGCAACGTAACAACTACTTGATGCACGTAGTTGATGGGACCATGCCCTCTCTTCTCCACCCCCACTCTAACAAAACCTATGGATTCCCAATGAAGAGCTCTACACATCTTAGCCTGCATTCTCACTTATCATGAGCAAGAACGACCGGGAGGAGAGAGAGAGAGAGAGAGAGAGAGAGAAGGGGGATGGATGGAAACAGTGGTGCACACCATGTCTAGTGCAGTAAAAGGGGGGTAGTGCACTGTTGGCTCATGTGCTATCCTCCATGTGTTGGCAATGATTTTCCATCTTGGAAGGGTGTACTACGATGCATCCAGTAAGGACTCACTAGTACTAAGCTGCTGACTGTGTAACTGTGTTATGTTTATTCCCCCAGGCAATGAGGCGTAGTAGAAAGAAACAAAAGCAGAGACACGCTTAGTTGTTACTGCTGCCGCTACTGTGGGGGGTGTGGCCATGGAAAAAGGGCACGGGAGGGTGGTACTGAATGCATTTTGCTTTAGAATCTGTCACGTCTCATGTTTTCCCCTACTCCCATTTCCCAAGCTGCCGCGGTACAAACAATGAGTGTAATCATTTGCGAGAATTCCACACCCTTTCTTTGAGGAGCAAATGAAAAGTGCCGGGGCGCTAGCATCCCGTTCTTTTGTCTTCTCACACTGCTAAACTTTGTCCTAGACAGAGCCCCACTTTCAGTCCCCTGAGACGTGCCTGCTGCCGTTGCCCGCCAACGTCATAATTCTTGCTTTCTACTACAAGCCGGTTAAAACACCACCTGGTCTGAAATTCTGTTCTGGCGCTACGGCATCGATAAATCTTTTATAAAACACTTCAGTTTTCTTAGTCAGGTTCAAGATCAGTTTAGAGTAGTAATGATGCTTCAGGTTAGATAAATTGCTTGGGACATTTGAATATCATATACAGTATCAATCATCCGAAATTCTCTCTAGCTCCGATTCTGCATTTTGAGTTTGACGTCGTCGTTTTCTTTCTCGGAAAGTAGCCCTGTTTTTACCAGATTCCAGTGCTGCATGCCATCCTCATCTATCACCAGCTAGAGACGAGAGTAAGTCGCTAGAGACGCAGGCGACCAACTATGCATATATAGCTTCACCAACTAATGCATCTCTCGCAACTAGGCATGCAGCACCACCGGACATTGACTCAGCCAAGCAACAAGCTGAGGGCACGCGCATTTTGGTACCATCTCCTCGCAACCAGCCAGACTTACAGCCATCAACATGGCAGCGACCAGCCAGACTTACAGCCATCAACAGCTGCAGTGGTCCATGAGATCAAGATCTCGTTCCGCTATCTGCTATTCCCTCGCAAAGTAAAACGATCGATCGCCAGTATTGGACTGTGGCTTTGTGCTTCTGTATTTTCGAGCTGTAACGGCCGGGATGGTCTTGCTCTGGTCTTAAAAAAAAAAGGAACGCGAATGAAGAAACTGATGAAACCCCCGTTTCTTTTTCAAACATGATGAGCCCATTTCTTCCAGAAAGGGCCCAGAAAAAAGATCGATAGAGACCAAGACGACGAGGGACGATGCAAAGTTATTTTGTACACAGATTTGTTGTTCAGAGCAAATTAAAATATATAGGAGTATTCAGTATGCTTGCAGTATGAGATGCCTGATACCATCTATCCACCACGTTTCACGAGCATTAGTATGGTCTATTATTAACAGGTAGAGTATTCAACCCTAAATGTTTGGATAAACCAGGCTGCATAAAAAATGAACATATGCTGATATACACTATTCAGTCCACTCCAAAGAGTGGGCACTCTCCTCAAAAGAAATGTAAACAGCGTGACAGATTTTGTTTAAAAGAAAACAGCGGCGGACAAGTCCAACCAGTACTCCCAAGTGTAATTCAATGGACTCCTTTGCTAAGCTACGTACTTTGCGGAATTTGTATGCATGTGCTTTCATCTAGATTAAACGGATAATCAGAATCAGAAAAAATTCACTGTCATCAGGATATTATCGTTGAACTATACAGTTTTGGAAAGACCAGGAGAAACATATGTCATTATCATAAATCATTTCAGGCAGTTGTTGGAATCTATATGTTCTTGAAAATGATCATGTTTTAGAATTGAAATATAAAATCTGCAATCAAAATTCGAGGTGAGAAACTTACTATCCTATTGAACAGACAACAAAGCCATAAGCCAAAGCTACTTCTCAGATAAATGCAAAGTCCCTAACAACCACAAAAAGCATCAAATCATCTTAAAATTATCTAGTAGAACTACACCACGTTAGGGATTAAAAGGCATCGTGATGGGTGTGTTTTAGATTGTTCTTTGCAAAAAGAAAAAAGTGATAAGAGCAAAATGACTCAGGTGAAGGTAAGTTCTAAAAAATAACAAGAGTTTGCATTTGTTTGTTCTCTACCATAACTAGCAGGATTAATGCTGATCTAGCTGAACGGAACATTGAACCCACCAAGGTGCACAGGAAGTGAGATTTACAGTGTAATTTTGTGTTGACAAGAATATTTGAAACAGTTTCAATTTGGAATGGAGCTAAAAATACATCCTACAAAACACTAATCTGCTGGAAGAATCCCATAGGTTATATTTGACAATCAATAAAACACTAACTAGAAACTGAATCTTCATAGCGCCACCAATTGGTACTCAAGATTTGAAACAAACAATATAGGGCCATGTATGTCTTGTGATATTTTGATGAACAAACTATTTATTTAATCTATCATATAACCCAGTTCACTACTCAAACAGCAATGATAATAACATCACATGCAGGAAGAAAAAGTTTGAAGCCATCAAATTACCAATGCTTTTGTGTATATTGAATATATATATGCATATATATATATATATATATATATATATATATATATATATATATATTTCCTTTACATGAGATTGGGCAAGGACTTTACTGAAGCATCATCTATTTTCTTTCACATGCAATTGAAACCTTAGTTTTAGCAAAATGCAGCGTTAGTCTAGCAACCATTTCTCATGTGGTAGAAGAAAAATAATATAGTAATTTCTTTGTGAGAAGACCAATGCATTGCAGAAGTTAGAAAAGCTATATGCCCAAACAGGCTAATCCCCTGTGGAACAATAGTAGGAATCGAGGATGCTGTGGAAAAGCCATTAAAATAAATAAATATTCTGGACCTGACGCGATGGGATCAACGAGGAAACAAGATCATGTCAGAGACGAAGAACACGAGAATGTGCGAGCCCTCGTCTCCAGATCTCCCCAGAGTTGCTACACTCGGAAACATAAAAAAAAAAACTCCCTGAATCAAACAAGGGATCGGCGCATGGCTCGATCGGTCACAGCTTCCAATCATCGGATCATTTTGTCTCTCTCCCATGAGCATATGATGACTCCTCTCTCTCTCTCTCTCTCTCTCTCTCTCACACACACACACACACACACACACACACACACACACACACACACACGTCTAACCACAGGCAATACTTAACTCGACACGATATCAAGGATTCACGAGCTACCAATTAAAGCCAACTAGGTTTCTAGGGCTCAGCTTTTGAAGTGCAAAGGTGCAAGTAGTAAAGCAAAGGGGTCTCTCCTTATGGAAGACACTTGCATGCATAGAAGCTACATGGCGAAAGATCAAAGAAGCATTAGCATCATTTTTTGCTTATCACTGAGCAAAACCACACCAACAACAAGAATTACCAAAACCATCAGCGAGAACAGTGCAAGAAACCCATCTCAAATGTCTCATCAAGGTCCACTAACTGTCAGTTTTTAGCCATTTGCAGCGACTGAGTATATTGCTACTCACCCCATCAAATGATCGCAAGAAGCAAACAAGTCTAACCCGCGCCTAAGCTAGCTAGGCTCTAGAAGGAACATGAATTTATGCATCTCAATAAGAGGCTAAGAATTTAGGAAGCTAACGAAATTGACAGATCGAGCGAGCTGGAGATGGAGTCGTGATGTCGTTACACAGCGAGCGAGACGGCTGCTGGCGAGCGAGCTGAGCCGCCGGTCACTGTCTCGGGTGGCCGTGGAAGAAGGGCGCGCCGGGCGGGAAGGCGGCGTAGGGTCCGGGCGTCGGGTACGGGTCCATCACCACAGCCGATGACACGATGACATTGCCCACGCCGCCACCGCCGCCTGCTTCGCCAGCGGCTGTCGTGATAGGAGGCGATCCGTCCCCGGCGTGGCGGAAGTGGTACTCGATGGCGCCGCCGCCGCCGCTACCAGCGGCAGGCAGGCCGTGAGGCCCGACGTCGTGAAGGATGCCCTTGAACACGTGGCCGCCGATGCTGACGGTGGTCTGGTACGCGACCTCCGCCTCAGCCTGGTCGACCGGCCCCAGGCGCACGCACCGGAACACCGCCTCCGAGCTCACCTCCCGTGGGAACCTCTCCGCGACCGTGACCATCTGCTGATCCCCTGCAAGAGCGTACGTGGAAGCACCGGAATACAAGACAAGAAGAATTTTGTCATGAGATGCGATTAGACGAGGCGGAGCGCGCGCAAGGCGCAAGCAAGCAAGATGATGATGATAAACGTGCATGATTGCTATCGTTCGTACCCGAGGACGTGGTCGGGGTGGCGACGGAGAGGCGCGCGCGCGGGCGCTTGGTGTGGTCGCGGGACGGGCCGGCGCCCGCGGTGGTTGTGGCGGCGGCGGACGCCGCGAGCGCGGCGAGCTGCTGCTGGCGGTCGCGCCTCTTGGCGGCAGGGACCCAGGTGGACTTGACGTGGGTGCCGCAGGTGAATCCGCGGCTCTTGCAGCAGGTGCGGCAGCGCTGGTGTACGCAGTCCTTCTTGGCCTGGTTGCCGCAGTCCTGGCAGCTGACCCCGCCGCCGCCGCCGCCGCCGCCGCTTCCCCCGCCGCCCCTGGCGCCGCGCGACGACGACGACGACGCGGCGCCCGTGAACGAGGGCGCGGCGCCGGGTGACGGGTCATCGGAGAAGCGGATGATGTTGGAGGTGTAGAACGGCTGCTGCTGCTGCTGCTCGTGCTGCTGCCATAGCTGCAGTCCCGCCCCCGCGCGCGAGGCGTAGAGGAAGGACGCGGCGTCGGAAGGGTGCACGGGCGGGACAGACGACGCGGGGAACTCGCGACTGTGGCCTCCTCCACCTAGAGGGAACGACCCCGCCATGCGCCCAAGTCCATAGGCCGCCGTGCCGTGCGCCGTGCCCGGCAAGGTGAAGGTGAAGCTCAGAGAGCCTGCCGCCCTGATCTCTCCCTCCCTCGCGGCCCCGCTCTACAGACGGCTGCTCGTAGTCTGTGCTCTGGGCGGCGTGCTCATGCCCCGCGCTCTGCGACGGATTAAAACCTGCGTGCTCGCAGCCGAGCGGTGTGGTTTGTGGTGCCGGCGCGCGGCCGGAGTTAAGACGGTGAGGCGACAGAGAGGACCTGCCACGCCGCCATCAGCCTGCGCGCACCTAAACTGCCATTTATTGCCTGCCTGCCGCTCTCTCTCCTCGCTTCTCCTTCTCCTTTCCGCACCGCGAGAGACAGGCACCACACCAACACGGCAGCGCGCGGCCGCTGTGGGCTGCTGCTGATAGGAGAGAGAGAGAGAGAGAGAGAGAGAGAGCGCGTATGGCCTAGCTGGAATGGAATGTGCTGGAGCCTGGAGTACTACCAGCAAGCAAGGATTGCCGTATGATGATGGTGGCGTGCTCCAGAATTCAGTCCCTGCGTCTGCATGCATGTTTGTATCTGCCTGCCTGCCCATCTGCCCATCTCTCTCTCTCTCTCTCTTCCCTGGTGGTCAATGCAATATTCAAAAGCTTCAGAGCCATCTCATCTATCTATACGTACGCAAATGCCGGAAGCCGGAACAGAGAAAATCCAGTGGCAAAATCGTTGTTTATCACCATCCAATCCATCGGCACGGTCTGCTGCTGCTCCGGCGCTGCGTTGTTTGCTTGCGCCTTGGCGCGTCCCACCGACACGGGCGGCGCGGGGCGGCCCAAGCACGCACACGCACCCCGCCGTCAAGACCGGGAAACACGGGAGCTGCTTTTGCTGCCGTCTTTACGTGCGACGGACAGCTGCTTTCAATCCAGTCCAGCAACAAAAGCTCACCATCCCTCCCGGGCGCCGGCTCGCCCACGTTCGCCAAAGCTGAAGCTCGCGGCGCCGAGTCGGACACGGCGACACCGGGTCAGGCAGCACCGCGAGGAGACATGCGCGATCGATCCACTTCGCGCTCGGCGGCCGGCGGGTCATCCTCCTCGTCGTCCTGGTTGGGCGGGTCGCGCTCCATCCACGCGCTTGTCTTGTCGTCCTCCTCCGTTCCGTTTTATGCAAGTCGTCTTGCCGCGGCGCAGGCACGCTACGAAACGGACCGCGGTCGCTGTCTCCTCGCGGCGTTTAGTTTACAGGGGTCACCTGTCACGCGGGCATCAGCATCGGATTGGTCAGTGTGTGCGTGACGACGGTGTGTGGTGATCGATCTAGCCGGAGATACGCGTGACGTCGCTGGAATCCATGTCCCGTGGACGCGACATGGGTAGTGGTCCAGTCAGCCGTTCAGTCCCGGTTTGCAGGGAAAGGGATGGCGATACTGTATGTCCCGGCCGGGGGTCGATGTGGACCTTTGATTATGCACGGGAAACCTGTTGGTCACTGATACTGTGACATTCTGCAGCTTGCTTGTGTCTCGTGTGAGTTGTTTAAGATGCTTGGTTGACATCCCCAGCCATTTGTAAATCTTTCTGGCCAACCTTTGAGCATCTTAGGGCCTCTTTTGGCACGGCTTATGCCGGCTTCGTTTTCATCTATTTTGCGTAAATCGAGACACTGTAACGTGAAAGCTATTTTATAAGCCGGGTTTAAAATGAACTAGAAGCCGGAAAAACCAGTTTTTCTGGCTTCACGGCTTTGGCTTCACCGGTGAAGCCGTTTTGGATGAGCCGTGCCAAAGAGGGCTTTAGTATTGTGCAATCTTGAGCAAACTGTGTTACAGGCTAACAAACAAGGCAATGAATCCAGCACTGTTACAGTAGTGTTACAGATTCGTGCTAGCAGTAGCGGCATGATTGCTGAGAAAGCTTTGGCCAATGGAAGTGTTAGGACCTGTTTGGTAGGGTTTCTCTCGGCTTCGGCTCCGGCTTCCTCCAAAGGAGTTCTGCCAAACGTTTTTTTGGAAGAGCCGTTTTTCAGTAAAAAACAGAGGAGCTGGAGCTATTTTGGAAGAGCCACAATTTATAGCTCCTCTAAAACAGCTCCGGCTCCTCCGGAGGAGCCCCTCGGGAGGAGCCGTGCCAAACAGGTATCGAGCGTCAAAAACAAACTTTTGAACCGGAATACAGAATCAGATGACGACCGTGCACCAGGGGCAGGCACAGGCAATCAGGCACTAGCATGGCGTCCACACTCGAAAAGCGGCGCCGGCACGAGCATGCATATGCATGGCACCTCGCGGTGGTGCTGTGCGGTAGATGTACAGATTGGGGGAACCGACCGGGATGTTGGCAGCAGCCAGCAGGATGCGAACTGAACGCGGCCATGCCCCACTACAGCAACCTTCCTGGCTGCGCCAAGAGGACGCGGGCGCTGTACCTGTTCCGCTATTCGGCTGGGCTGGGATGCGTGGCCAGTTGTGGTGGGGGGAATTGGAAGCAGCAGCCAGAAGAATTGAAGAAGGAAAAAATGCTTCTGCAACGTGTAGTACCACGTACCGACCGGCGCCCCTTGCAACTGCATTTGCACTTGCATGTATCTAACGACAAGCAGCGCGCATTGAATTGAGGCTGTGTTTAGTTTAGTGAAATTTGGAAATTTGGCTATTGGAACACTTTTATTTTTTTTTTTAATTAGTGTTCAATCATGAACTAATTAGGCTCAAAACGTTCGTCTCGTTATTTTTAACCAAACTGCACAATTAGTTTTTTTTCGTCTACATTTAATGTTCCATGCAAGTATCGTAAAATTCGATATGTTAACTAATGTAGCACTTCTCGGGAAACTCTGGCCGGGAAGAGAGTACTGTACTGCACTGCACTCCTCCGTGGGCCGCCGCCCGGCCGGACGGCTCCATTTATTGTGAGCTCTGATCGCGATCAGATCCACCCCATTCTCGATCGAGTCAGAGGGAGGGGAAGGCCCGTACGGCGGCCCCCTTGTTCCTAGCCTGCGACTGTGACTGCGACTCTGCGGGTAAAACAAACGCAAAGGGACAAGCCAACCGGCTCAGGCTCCTGAAGCTTGTGTGGGATCAGGTTTTCAGGGTGTTCGATACTGTGTATCGACTGGTTCTGGTTGGTTTCAACTAATTTAATAGTGTTACGTGTGAAGAATAAGCTAAAATAAACTGAAATAAGTGAGACAAGCGGAGCCGAACAGACCTTTGTCCTTGGCTTGCCGTGCGGTGCGGTGGTGTTGCGTCGCATCACGCCGCACCGCAGCATTCTCGTCTCCATCTCCCCCGGCCGCGCCAAGACCGTTGCGGTTTCGGCAGGTTTGGGGTGCCAGCTGTTCTTGATCGATACTCCTACGTACAGTACTACTGTACTAGTACTACGGTGAACTTTCAAGTGCAAGACTGCGAGAACAAAGGCGCCCGCAAGGTCAAGACTGCTTGCTGGTGGCATGGCATGTCACTCACATCTCCTCCGTGCAGTAGCAGCAGAAGCACGAGCACGACCAGGGTTTTACTCGGGGGCAGCCGGCCCGGGACCGTCTCCTCGACAAAGCTCCATCGGCAGGCACGCAGCGGTTTTTACTGCCCCCACAGGTACTGCACTGCAGCGATAAAAGGGGCAAGGGTCTGGGCTGGGGACGGGGTAGGGGTAGGGGTAGGGGCGGGAAAAAGTTGGGAACAGGATCCCAAGGCCGCCGCGCTGCAGTGCCTGCTGTGCTGAGAAAGTCCGGGCCCCAGTAATGAAGCGAAGCCGGAAGCGGCCGGCCCTGGCGTGCAGGCTGTTGGCTGGCCGGCCGGCTGGATGCAGCAAGCAGCCCCGCGCCTCGAGCCGTGCGCCGCTGTTACTCGTTGTACCCGCTCGCCCGAGTTGACCCCGCCGCGGGAAGGGAAGCCTTCCGTTCCGCTTCTCCTCCTTCCCTTTTCTTTTCTTCTTTTTTTTTAATTTTATTTATTTTATACTGTGCCAGCCACGTCCGCCGTGCCTCCCGCGCGCGTGGTCCCGCCGCACTCCCGTCGTCATCCTGTGTGATGCGAGAGACCTGCGACTCCCGCGCGCGCGCGCGGACACGGAGGGAACAGTGCGTAGCGGCGGGGGCGGGGGGTCGCGGGCCGCTGGCTGGAGGACGAATGGACGATACGATCAAGCCGTGGTGATCCTTTTCGCTCGTCCGTGTCCGTTGAGCAAGACCGCGAGAAGGCCCAGCGCGCCGCGCCGTGCGCTGATCCCAACGCGTAACGAACTGGGCACGCAGCCGCGCGACGGGATGGGTGCGGGGGACACGGCCGCGAGGCGGACTGCGGCATGCGGCTGCTGCATGCGCGCCCCTCCTCCCTCGGGACGCGTGGCTGGATTTGCGGGGTAAGCTGTCGTCGCACTGTGAGTCTGTGACTGGCTAGCTTTCAGCTGTTGGACTCGCATTGCACGCGGAGAAGAGAACGCCGGGCCACGACTGGGTTCAGTTCAGGCAGCAGACATTTCTGATTTCTGACGCAGCACGCAGGTTCATTTTCTTTTACGCTCTTCAATAATTCTGGCAGAATGATTTGAACGTATCAGGAAATTTGAAACCTTATTAATTATTATACAAAATAATATGAGTAACTAGTATACAGGTGAAAATGAAATTCTGAGTAGTAGTATATTCACAGAAGAATGGCTGACACGAATACACACTCACACTCGCAGAACGGCAGAAGCCCCTTCACAGCCCATTAAACCCTGCTGCACACTGTACACCAATCAATCGCAGTAAAACCTGTTGCTCTGTACCGTGAACAGTTCGGCGTAGGTACACCTTTTATGTAAGCGGCAGAAAGTATGAACTGGTACGGTTACATATCGGGTTATCGTGGAGTTAACGATCCTGGTCATCGCCGAAGGTTGTCTCAGAGAATTGGGAAAATGCATGTACTGCTAATCCAGGAACACGGGCCCGGTACGGTACGTGTCCGGCCACTGTCCAGAAAGTAGCGTTCCTACAACAAATTCTCCTGTTCCACCACGT